GTTATATAAAGGGAAATAGGATTACATAGCTGGGGTAAGGCGCAAACCTCGGAGTGTTATATAAAGGGAAATAGGATTACATAGCTGGGGTAGGGCGCAAACCTCCGAGTCTTGAAGTGTCTTTTATTGATTTTGAGATTGAGTCTCAGTATTTATCCCCAGGCTGGCCTGTGATCCAGCCTCTGCCTCTTGTATGAAAAACGCCTTTTTATTAAACCTGAACTAAAAGCCCTAAGAGACATTATCTTCCTATTTTACACGACTGAAGAATGGCTTGTGAACAATCCCCTCTTCTCTTCCACCGTGAAGTCAGATGCATGTGACTCTGCTCTTCAGTTTTGTGGCCAATGCACACAGAGGCGATGGGGGGCTTCTGTCGGGTCCTGTGCTGTCTCCCGCAGCCCCATTCTCACATGTGACACGGGAGCACCGTGTGACAGGCTTCCTCCCCGACTTTCTCGCGATGCTGCTGCGCGAACGCTTCTTCCTCCGCCATCACTCCTTTTCCTTACTCCCACCTAGTTTCTGCTTTTGTATATTATCCATTGCAGATGACTCACAGCTTAGATGCCTGGATATCCCAGAACCTGAATTCTCCCACGTCTGACCCCGTTCTCAAACGCTCAGATTTCACATAGGAGTTGTGCTAGGGGTTGCTGTCTTCTTTAGTGGTGATGAGTGTAACCCCTTCTCCAGTGCACAGCCCTTCTGCATTTGTTCCTACATTCCGGAAGTTGAAGGCACTGTGTTCCTCTTGACTTTCGTTTTGATCTCTTATGATCTCTTGCTTTCACTGCCCCTTATGAGCAGGCACATTTAGGTTTAGATAGTGCTTTTATTTGCCAAATTACCCTGCATCTTGTATTCCACAACAAACACTAAATGTTATGGTGTTCATCTTAACATTCATACATTTAGAGGAGGAATATAAAGACCCATGGAGCCCGTCCACAGATCGGCCTCAGACTAAAGGGCCGTCCAGATTCTGTAAGCATTTAGGGCGATGGCTATGTAGTAGTTCTGGGGCAGGGTGAATGGTATAAAGTAACTGAGCCTTCAGGAGGATGTCTTGGACCCTGTATGGAACATGCTGGAAGGCTGAGGCCTTGGCAGCCAAGTGACAACACAAACCTGCTTTGTTTGAAGAAGTTTTGACTGTGACAACATAAAGGTCACTGCTGTGCTCATTGATCTCCAGAGGGGGTTGCTGAATTCCCAAAGTAAATGTTTCCCTCCCTGAGACTTTGCACTGTGTCCCAACCTGGAGCAAACACAGATCAGAGAAATGAAGCCGGGCATACAGACCTATGTTTAAAAAAAAAAAAAAAATCAGTACGCCAAACCAGAAAGTGTTTTCTTTAGATAAACAGGGTCACTTTTGTGTGACCCCCAGATCTCACTGTTAACACACGGTACATGATACTGGCCTATCAGTAACAGGGAAAAATTAATAATATGTAGAGAAGAAGTCATTGTCTGCCATAAACTGGTATCCCATTTTTTCATTTGTAGCCTATATAATTCCATATAAAGAATACCTTAAGCAAGTCACCGGTGGGTTTTGGTACAGTAAGGGCTTGTTAATGCTGAACCATTGCTAAGAAACCATCAGTTGCTGCCGGTGTCTTCTGCTGAGAACATAGTTCAAATAAAAGTCATGTCAAGAATCCTAAATTGTATGTATCTTGGGGTGGTTCCAAGTCACATAAATGAAACACTTTTACCATTTTTCACTTAACTAGCTCACATCACAGTAACCCTTCCAGAGATCTGTGTAGATGAAGACTGGAGAAAGGAGGCAAATTCATTTCAATCCAAAAAAGTGGAGAGATGGCTCAGAGGTTAAGAGCACTGGCTTTTCCAAAGGTCCTGAGTTCAATTTGCAGCATCCACATGGTGTCTCATCAACATCTATAATGAGATCTGGTGCCCTCTTCTGGTGTGTAGGCACACGTGCAGGCAGAATGCTGTATAAGTAATAAATAAAAAATCTTAAAAATTATAAATTTCATAGTTCCATAGGTGTCACACAAATGAAACATGCAGCCTTGTTTCCTATTCCCACGTGGGTCAGGTTGTTGTTTCCCTGTGTTATTTCCCTAAATCATTTGCTATGAATTATGTTTTTAGGCTACATTTTGTACACTGATACAAAGTATAAACAATGGACTATCATAACTAGTCTAACCATTGCCATGTATCTTGAAATTGTCTCTTCCTTTCCAGTGAACTTGGAGAAATCCCCACACTGAAAACACTACAAGTTTTTGGAATCGTGCCAGATGGTACCCTTCAGCTGCTGAGAGAAGCCCTCCCTCACCTGCAGATTAACTGCGCCTACTTCACCACCATCGCAAGGCCAACTATGGACAACAAAAAGAACGCGGAGATTTGGGGCATCCAGTGCCGACTGACACTGCAAAAGCCCAGCTGTGTGTGACGAGCCTCCTGCAGGGTGCCGTCTCCTGTTCCTTGAGGACGAGGGACCAGGCAGCACATCCAGCAGCCGGAGACTGGTTGCTCCTCATACTGCTTTTACCTTAGCCTCATTCCACATGTATGTTAGGGAACCGTTTGCAAGGGGCAACTAAGAAGTGTTACTTTTTCAAAAACAGGGATGATTCTGTCAGTGCTGTGCCCTAAGAGCCTAATTACTAGTTAGGTCTTTGGAAATTTTAGGTAAGCCTATTATTTCAAAATAGCTTTTTAAAGCAAAATTTGAGCCAACTTCCAAGTGCCCTTCTGATTAAGTCCATTTAGAATGAAGTTCTAAAATTTACCCCAGGCTAACAATTTTCATGGTGTTTGTCATAACTTTTTATCCTATTTAATTATTCAGTATTTTGTAAAACTTGATTTTGATGAGCAATAAGCTAGCGAGTGTATGGTGGGCTGGGTGGAAAGCAGCAGGGGCTTGTAGTGTCTGAGGCAGTCTCTTCTGGGAATTCACGCGTTTCAACTTTGTGTGCAGGTTAGTACAATAGAAATATGGTCCTGCATAATGTACCCTAAACTCTAAGTGAAAAACAAACACAGAGAGACGCAGGCGGAAAGACAGAATCGGCGTAGTTTGAAGCATCAAAAGGCTGCTTTCCAAAGCCAGGTTAATATGAAGTATGCTTTAATGTTTTTAGGTACTGTGCTATGTTCCCAGAATCCTAAAATAGGTGAGGAGATCTAATTGTGCTTTTTTAACTTTATAATCAACTTATGTTACGTGGATTGTTTAGCTCTTTAAGTTTGCTTGCTTTGTTTTAGAAATGTAATATTCTAATCAGCATTCTTGAGAAGTCGGGGAGAAGAATTCTGTGCTGATCTTGTTTGCCGTTACTTCCTTTAGCGCTGCAGTTATTTTTATATTATTCTGAAATCATGGACTTGAACTTCTTTTAAGTGTTCTTACACATAATTGCTTGAAACTACCCATTAGGTTACTGGACCTAAAGTTCCTTAGGTAGCCCTGATTTCTCGCCATCAGAAACACAGGAGAAGTAGGCGCAGGCGCAGCTGCTGACCGTGTGGCGTGACTTCACCTAAGTTTTTAAGACTCGCTGGGCGGAAAACCTCTTGCTAACACACGTTTTTACCGCTTCATACAGAAGCAAAAAGATCAAATTGTGTTTCTTAGAAAATGAAAAGAAAAAAAATCAAGGCAGTTACCTCTTCGGTGTGTGACAGAGCCACAATGCATTTCTGTCAACTTTGTCATCAAAACTTCTACTGTTACAATAACATGAAGTGCCTTCAACTGCTCAGACCTACAGGACACTTTCGTGTGTCACACAGGAGTGAATAGGCTTCAGTTCCCTAGTAGTTAAAAGAGTGCTAACTACTACTTGAAACTATTGTTTACACATTAGTGCCAGCCCTATGGTGGGCTCTGGCTGGGCGCTGGCCTCCAGGCACCCTCAGACACAGTATCTGTTCTTCCTCACTCAAGTCCAGCTGTGAGCTATTTTGCCAACATGTCGCAGTAATCTGTATTTTTGTATGTGATTTCTACTTTTATAGACTCATTTTAAAATAAAGTACATTTTTATAAAAACGAGTACTTGAACTACTTTGTGTTCCTTATTTCTGCATTCATTAAATTAGGAAAGCATCAATTTGGGTCGCCATTTGGATCAGATAAAGTAAGATTTCGGCCACATGTGCTACCTGTTTATGTGTGCTTTTTGTCAAAATGAGTTCATAATACATATGAAAAGTGTTAAATACAGGCCTTAGTGTGCTCTCAGGGATACTGACATCTGTACAGTCTTTTAGTTCTGTTGGCTGTGGTATAACACCAAGTACACACTGCATCAGCTTACACTGCAGATTTGCACGGTTTAGACAGTATGAGTAGCTCATGCCAGAGCTCCAGTAGTTAGCTCACTTGAACTGTTGCACTCAAATGCCAGGCTGGTGGTTCTAAATCACCAAGACTTAATTTTTTTATAGTACCATTGTAGTTCTAATTTTTGTTTTCAAATAATGGGAAGTGAAAGTATACACAGAGCCTCATCATACAGCTTCAACAGTCTTAATTCCTGGCCACACTCATGACTCTGATCTCCATTCCCTCATAGGAAGATGATTTTAAACCAAAACTCAGACCTCTAATTTCATAGATATCTCAGTCTATATAGAAGATAGCGATTTGACATTAATTGTAAACACTGAAGGTCAGGATGAGGTTGAAGAGCTGTCTCCCAACTGTTTCCTTTCGTGTTTTTGCAATAAGACCTCATTATGAATCTCACATTAGCTTCAAGATGGCTATCCCCTATCAGTGGATGTGGAGAGGGGCATGGGAGATGGAGGAGGGAGAGGGGATTGGGAGGGAAGGAGAGAAGGGGCTACAGCTGGGATACAAAGTCAATAAACTAATTTGTATAAATTTAAAATTAAAAAAAAAAAAGATGGCAAGGTAGTCCCATCTGGCCTTGAACTCAGGATCCTCCTGTCTGCCTGTAAGGTGCTGGGATTACAGACCACCATTCCGTTTATTTTGATTAGTCTCTTCAAAGGTCCACACGTTGCATTCAATGAGTCTCAAAACTTAAGCTTTGGCTTTTATTTCATCCCTGGAAATTTATATATGAAGATATAATTGATAATTATATACTGTATATAATTTATGTATATATAAAGATAATTTTTAATTTATATACAGAAGATATGTGTTATGTATTTCACAATCTGGGCTTTATTGATGTCATCCTTGAAAAAAACACTGCTTAACAGGTTGGAGATTGGTCTAATGCTAATTGTTGGCACTCAAGATATGGTTACTGCCTGCCCAATACACCCATCCTTGTTTGTGTAAACCTGCCTAAAACATTATACCTAGTTGGTTCATTAAATGGCCTTTTCCTGGGCAGGGCAGAATGGGATGGTGTGGCTAAGGTTCCCGAGCTTCAGAGAGAATCATGGGAAACAGACGGACAGAAAGGAGGACTCCACCATGCATTAATATGGAGGAAAAAACCACATTGGCTAAGAGTAAGGACTCCAATAATGGTGTGAAAAGGCTCAGATGAGAATACAAGCAAGTACCACTTGTGGGTGGAAGGCAGACCAGATGAGTAGGATTAAGGTGAATGGAATTGGATGTGTGCTGGGAGGTGATACAGAGACAGTGTAAGTGAAGTATCTGCCCAGCCCAAGGTAAATAAAGCAATTATAAATCTAACAGGTGTCTGTCTTATTTGTGATAGTGGGTTAAGCAATACCGCCGTGATAATGATAATCTTAGGGCTAATAATAAACATTATATAGCTCATCACTTTTTCTAATTTACTACAACAGGTTAAACTGCCCCACCCACATTGCTCGTTTTCATCAACTGGCAATTAGACTTAACATTGAAAAGTTAGGGGTGATTTCTGCACAACAGGAGGCATTTGGTAAGGTGTGTAGTAGTGGGTGTTTGGCATCAGGCTCCACTTTCAGTGTAAACATTTTAAATGACTGTGCGTGTGTGTCTACAGGCACTTGTGGAGGCCTAAGTTACAGGCTTTTGCTTGTCTGATATGGGTGCTGGAACCAAACTTGGGTCCTCGTCAAGAATAGTAAATGCTTTATCTCTAGCTACTTATCTAATCCGTGATTTTCTTTAAAATACCTCAAAGTCCACATTCCTTAACATAAAAAATAGCCTTCTCATTAACTTAGGTCCTCTAATCCCTCATACAAAGTAAAAATACAAACTGTACTTGAGAACATAATTGAAAAATTCTTTTGGAGGGTTCCTTTTTTGAGACATGCATGTCCAGAAAGGCTCACAATCTTAGCCTTACCTCCAGTGGGTTGTGGATACAGTTCAGCATCAGATTTACTCTTCACCCTCCCCCATCATTACTATCTCATCGCATTAGTTATGTTATCCCTGGGATGCGTTTAGTACCTTAAGTGTAAGGATACACATAGATGTACACGGTGGCAAGAGCTCCAATATAAATTCTAAATTTATATTACTTTCATAAGTACTTTTATCATTCTGTTTGTGAGCTCCAGCTATTCTTTCTCTGCCAAAACACCCACAGCCCTGCCCTCCAGCCCTGGGGCCACAGTTACCTTAAGGTGGGCCAAGTGTGACCACAGCCAGCTTTTTAGGTGGATTCTAGGAATTTGAACTCGGGTCTTCCTGTTTGTGCAACAAGAGTTCTTAAATGCAGAGCCATCTCCCCAGCCCCTGTATCCTTAATTTCTTTTTCTTGACACTTTCAGCTCAAGTGAGTAGTTTATAATTATTTTCATCCTTCTACTTTCATTAAAATGAAATTGTGCTGAGCGCCTTTAATCCCAGCACTCAGGAGGCAGAGGCAGGCATATCTCTATGAGTTTGAAGCCAGCCTGGTCTACGAAGTGAGATCTAGGAAAGATATGGCTATACAGAGAAACCGTGTCTCAAAAAGGCAAAAAAGAAAAAAAAAAATAGCTCCATACATGAATGCTACCCATTCAAGAATACAAAAACATTATGGAACATTAAAAATACTCAACTAAGTTATCTGAAAAATGGATTTTGAATTAAACATTTTGAATAAACAGATTACATTCTATCAAGTAATGGCAACAAATCTACAGTGCACAGATTACAGGCCAGTGGGAACAGACTTGAAACAGTATTAGAGAAAAACTTATTTTTATGCAGTGATCTCATTAGAACTTAGTAAACAAGAAGCAAAGTAAAAAAGAACAGACAATGATTTAATTTTATTTGCATACAGTGGTCAATAAAGATTTAACCCATTCAAAAAGACATTTTTGATATACCAACATCCTTCGCCATTCATCTATTACAGACAAATCCCCGCCTGCCACAGAGCAGAAGGCAGATTGTATCAGAACATAGTACATAATTTCAATATCTTTCCAAATTTGCTTCTGAACAATTCTACACAGCTAGTTAACAGTTAATAGTGCATGTTAATAGAACTGTGGTAAATCAACCAGCTTTCCTAGATATTTTAAGGACAAGAATGGCATTTTTTTTTTCCTAATAAAGTATGTTAAGCCTTTCAGGGGAATTTCTATAGTGTGGAATTTAACTTCTATATAAAGTCGTATCTTAAGTGTATCTCTTTTATTAAGGTAATCTAGAAATTAGACTTGGCTCCGCAAAAACACTGACTTACTTCCTTCTGCAGATACTCAGGGAAAGTGTTGTGGACAAACACCAAAACCGAGACAAATCTAGACCACCCTGAATATTTTTTTTTTAAATTGGTAAGAGCAGCATATTGAGTGTGGCAAAGCTAGAGCATCGATCTATCATGCATCCTAGCTTTCAGTTTTCATGTGTGAGGTGTAGGCTCAAGTTCCATAAACAGTCTACTTCCATGTCTGACACTTCACTCTATGGCATACTGTGACAGATGACGCAGAATGAGTCTCCAATAAATACCATGTCAATGAAAGAACATTTTCACCAACAAGTGAAAAATATACAACTCTGAATAAATGACAAGAGAATACCATTTCATTATTTAGCAATGGGAGCTTTCTGTGAAAATTAGTTACTTTTAAGGAGATCAAGAATTAAATGAAAATGGTTTCCTCCAAAAAAAAAAAAAAAAAAGTGGTTTTTATACTGGGAGAAGGAAAAGCTCTGATGTTTTATCCTACAAAGCTATTGTTTAAAACTTGGAGGACAGTAAATGAAAACCACAATTCTCAAGTAAGGCAATTCCAAAGCTGGGAACTTACTGGAGTCCATTCTCTTGCTGGCAGTCCTAATACTAAAGGAAGTTTCTTTTGAACCTTTTACTGAACTCTTAACAGAACCTACTAATTGGTTAACCTTCTAATCCTTGCATCCATAATAGAGATCCAAAAACAGAAAAGGGGCTTTGGACTCAAGTTATTTTTCAAAAAAAAAAAAAAAGTATGAACAACAACTGTCATGAAAAAAATTAATACATTTACAAAGCATCATGATTTGTCCCAAAGGACACATTTCTTCTAGCACTACTGACCCTGACCAAAACAAGTCAGGCTCATCTACAGATAATTTAAAAAAATGATTCCATTTTCTCAATCAATAGTGATTTCATCATTGTTTCCTGGATTAGAAAATTCTTAGCAAATATAAAACACATTTACCAACTTTAGTTAGGTCAACTTCAAGATTTATCAAAATTTTCCATCATCAAAATTTTTGAAAATCTTTAATTTTAGGAACTATAAAAATAATGCACTAATCAAATGACCATGTGGCCAATGCCACAGAGTTAGGAAGAAAAAACGACACTTGTACAGTTAAGTTTCAAATCCTAAATATTTAACCCTTTATTTAACCTGTCTCTCTAAAGAATATCAATACCCTTGGTTACCAACTGTAAATAATGTAGAAACTTCACCAACATAATTCCAATCCCTTTAGTCCGTCTGTGTGCCACATGGTGAACAGCTTTTATCTATCAGAATGGAGCAGAAAAGCACATGGATCCACTCTGCCACCTTTGACTCTAGTGGTAATCAGTCAATAAGAACCAATGTTTGGTCAGTCTGTGGCTGTTCATCTCTAGCTGGAGAGAAATGTTTCTAGTAATTATATCTGTTGTGAAGGAAACTCTTCATTGTTCCAGAATCACAGTTCGAAGCTCATCTTCTTTATTGATCATCATTGAAGCAATTGCTCCATCATTAAACTCAAAAGATGTTCCTCCATCCACAACCATGCAGGCATCCCAACATCGAGACCGAACACTGACTCTAGGCGGAAGCAGATGGCCCATTAAATATCAGATGCTCTTACCCAGAGCAAACTGTGTTGTTACTATAACTAGCAGCTTACTTGGCCTTGACTTTACAAGTTGAGTTGACAATTAGTGACTGTAAACAATATCAATACGAGCACACATCAACATCTCAAGTTTAAAACTCAAGGTAGAAACATTCACTTTGTTATGTATCAGTGGGAAAAACAACAACAATCACAACTCGGTAGAGTGCTGGGCTGCTACCACTTTCATGCCAATGGAGTGCCGGGCTATTTTCATGGAACTTCCATTACAAAGATTTTAAGTACAAGCAAGAGAGCATTCATGTGTAAAGTTTTTCTTAAGGATTCTGGACTGTAAACAGAGAAGAGGCAAAAGTTCAATGAACACAGCACCAGCACCTTCTCCCAGCTGCCATTTCCGCCCTTTCTCTCAAGTATACCCACTATCTATCGCTGAGGTAATGTCCATTCTTGATCTTTATTTCAGCCATGCTAGTTTGGGGATATTTTCATTCCCCAAATGAATAAGGTTAAGCATTTTTCAGATGTTTATTAAATATGCCTTTGTGAAATAACAAACATCTTTGGCTTTTTTTTTTAATGCACTGGCTGTCTTTTACTGATCTGCTAGAATTTCTGTAAGTAGGCTGAGTAGCCCTTAACCAAATGCTATATATATATATATAATATTTTATAAATATTATATAAATACAATATATTGTATATATCTATTATATACATATTATATAATCTTATTTAAAAGATTATATATAATATAATCATATCTAAAAGATTTGTTTCTATATATAATCTTATCTAAAATACACACACACACACACACACATATTGAGGTGTATCTGGAGATAAAACCCCAATGTAAACAAAATTCACATATTACTTTCAGCGCATCTGCAATTTGACTGTGACCCCGTGAGGTCGCACACATAATTCTACTTGTGGCACTGTGTCTATGCTCACAGAGTTTTGGCTTCTGGAACAGCAATTTCACATACAATTCTAAAATACCTGAAGAGAGACCAGGGATATTTTTCAAGTAACTTTCTCTATACCATACAGTTTGTTTCATTATTGGTATACTCACTGAGGTTCTTAATCCTGCTATAGAGCAATTAATTTATCAGCCTTTTGTTGTCCAAATGCATTTCATGGTATCTTTACAGTATCTTTTCCAATCACCTATATCATATATTAGTTAACAGTCTAAGATATTTAAATATAATAAATATACAAAAATGAGTTTAGATTTGTAAATCTAATTAACTCTTAATTGAATAAAGCGAATATTTATTCCTAGGGAAAGAAAAAATACCCTTGTCTCAATATCTCAAAAAGAAAAGGATGTTTCCGTGTTTTGTGTATGTGTTTAAATGTATTACTGGGATGAACGAAGTGACTAAGGATGCTTACTTTGTGGAGAAACAACGCTGACGGCTGCTTGAGAAAACTCTGTTTGCTATTGGCTCTCGAATACTGAAAAGTATTTTTGGTTCTTCTGGACTGTAGAGCAATGATTCATTATATTCATTTGTGACTATAAGGGAAAAAGAGCAAGTTTAATAAAGGATGGTTACATCTGAGAAGCATGTGACAAACATGCCACTTCCAATTTAAAGCATGTGTTCAAAGGCTGCTTGGAAGCGTATCTCTTTGGGAACTCGTATTACATACCCTACTATATAAGCCTTAGAAAGAAATGACTATTAGTTTTAATTATTAACCCACAAAAAACATTCACCACCCACAACAGAGAAGAAATAGGTACAACTGGAGGAAAAAGAGAAACAAATAATACAAAGCTGGGAATTAAACAGTAAGACAAACTCAACATTGTTGTAAAGTACCCTCAAAGGGAGGGGAGGGGAAGGGAGGGAAAGAGAGCAAAGGGGAGGAGAGGGGAGGAGAAGAAAGGGGAGGAGAAGGGAGGGAAAATAGAAGGGAGGGAAGGAGAAGAGAGGGATTTACAAAGACAACTATATAGGAAGTTAAAAGTGAAAGTTTAGCTGAGTACCACATTTTAAACAAAAACAGTAAGACTTTGATAATATGCCTTATTTTGGAACTACTGTTAGAATTTTATGTGTATGGATGGTCCTTGAGTTGCAATGAGGTTATTATCTCAGACCCATCATTAACTAAAAATATTTAGTCCTCACAGCCTACTGCGCATCACTGCAGCATAAAACACCAGAGAGGTCTGTGTGCTGGTTTACCTTCTACCCTTGGGGCCGACTGGCCACTACAGCTCCTGGCCTTGCCCCGGGCCCCAGGAGTTACTTGATAGCAACTATTGAAATGATCAACATTTAAGCTATACAGCTTCTACTGTAAGTGTCATTTTTTTAAAAATCCTTGTTAAGGTTGAAAAACCATTATTTGGTTCTTTAAAAATAAAAATCTAACTTACCACAAAAAGTAAAATAGAAACTGTGGTAGCTATGAAAGAAACTTCAAAAGACTGGTTCTAGGAATGTCTGTGACAGCGACTGCCACTGGCCTTCTAGTTTCTGTAGACAGCTCAATCTTCAAAGAAGTATCCACTCAGGAAAAACTCTACACGTTCTTAAATGAAAATCTATCCCTGTATTCTGGGTGCAGCTTACATAGAAATTTTATACATTCCAGACGTATTATGTTTATTGTGTTGAGTTTTGCACTTGACATACCATCAGCTCATATTTGTATATAACACTGTACATAGGCCCAAACGAGGTGGTTACCTGATTCATGTATGAGAGGGAATCACTCAGGACATTCAGAACATGCACCTCCATCTTTCTTTATTTAGTTCTCATGATGTTTAGGCTAAATTATATAACTAGAAATTGCAGGTGCCAATTTCCCTTTCCTTGATACCAGCTAGCTAATGCTAACTGACAAGCCATGATTTAAATCTTTTAAGTCTCAAACTAAAAATAAGCAGAATCAATTTGATAGCATTAATACCATGAAAAGCTGGACGTGACTATGGAAAAACCTGCTGGAACAGCATGAATTTAGAGATGCACTTAAAACACATAAATACTCTTTCTGCCACCCAGGATGTGCTTACAGCTGTAGTGTCTTGATATGTGGGCTGTATTTCACAGTGAACACAAGTGAGAGTACAAAACTGCCGCTTAAGGAAAAGCAAGATGGCTCAGAGGTAAAGATGCTTGCCACCAAATCTAATGACTTGAGTTCAAATCCCCAGGAGGTAGCCATCTTCCTGCCTCTAAAAGTTAAAAAGAACCAACTCTTGTAAGTTGTGCTCTGACCTCCACAATGCCCATATACACACTTCAAAGTAAATAAAAATGTCACTTAAAAACTTTCTTAAAGCCCTGCTTTAGCCCTTTTAGCTCCCTTTAACAAGACAATGCTGTAACATCTAATTAAGAAGACAGTCATAATATTGTTCTTTCTCAAAGCTGACAGGAATAAGCTAACTGTAACTAATACCATGAGATACCAACCTTTTTCTACCAATTCTTTGTTCAACGGAAGAGTCACATTTCCTTGTCGTCTTGCTATTGACAGAGGAAAGATGGAAAAAAGCTTCATTTAATCTTGTACATCACACAATAGCAAATACATAGCATGTACATTATATAGTACACAATACTCTGTGGTATACAATAGCTGTGTTAGTACTCACCAATATTTAAAACATCCTCAACAGCCTGAGCGGCAACCCTGTTAATATTGAATGACCTAGGAAAAAAAGCAAGCACGTAATTCTTGTCTTCATCCTAAAAGCACACTAAAAATGAGACATGCATGATATATGGAACATATAAAGAATCGTTAAAATTAAGACAACTGCAAACCAGTGGTTAAAAACAATATATATTTATATATATATACACACACACACACACACATACACACACACATATATTGGCATGAATGTCGGAGGGAAATTATCCTTCTACTTGATAGGAATACAGAAGTTGCAACTGGAAAGCAATTAAAGACTGCAAAGATTTGAAATTAACAAAGAACCCTAATCTGATAAACCCGGTGAGAACGCAAGTGTATCTCGACACAGACGATGCAGATTGGACGCTGTCTTCAAGCTAACTGCTGCCACCCACGGGCACAAACATGTATCCCTTAGCTGAGGAGAAGGAACAAAGCTCTCGCTAAGCTCTACAGCCCCATGTCCTACTCCTGTGGGACATGTTTGCATATGCAAAGAAGAGATTTCTTCAGACACTCTCCTCCCCATTCACATGGTCAGATTTCCATGTTTTAGCCCCCTTACTATGTAACATGTCACTAAGTACTATCTAAGGGAACCCGCATCCCTGAGGACTGAGGCTGTGAATAATATCTTCAAGCCTGACTGACCAGACCCCCACAGGAACAGCCCATGCTCTTCCCTCTTCTGCAGCTCAGTACAATAACCTTAGTCACCACATCAGAAATAGCAGAGCCTCAGAATGGCAGGAGCTTTCCTCCCTGCAGAGTGACTAAAGGACAGCCACCTGTCAATTAAGAATGCCCACAATGTGCTGGTGCCATGGTGTACTCCATTAGTCCCAGCACTCAGGAGACAAAGGCAGGCTGTGAGTTTGAGGCCAGCCTGGTCTTCAAAGTGAGTACAGGACAGCTAACACAACACAAAGAAACCCTGTCTCAAAACAAACAAAAACAAAAAAAGTGCCCAAACTGGACTTTATGAGAGCAAGAAATAAGCTTTTAATGTATTACACCATTAGGATAGGGGTTTTCTTCTGTGCAGCAGCTAGCTTACCCAGAGTCAGACATCTCCATACATCTCATATTCAAAACAAAAACTGAGGCCAAATTAAGTTTTATTCTCTGGGGATTAAAACCAAAGCTTCATATATGCTATGTAAGCATGACCCAGGTTTGGTTTTGTAACTATAAGTGGTTGGCAACTGTTTCCTTAATAGTTACGGCAGGAGTAGGTCCAACATGAGTCCATATGTAGTCCTTCTCTGGTCTGGTGGGAACTGTAGGAAATGGTGATGACCTTGACTTGAAATACTCAGAAGGTGCATGGCAGACAAATTCCAGGTATTTCTGCTATAGTCCCAAAGTTAGGAAGAAGCATGTTCCGGCTCACAGAAGCTACAATAAAGTTCATTGTAAATACTGTTGGAAATGATTATCAAATGCTAATATTCCAGTTTTGGATTAAAATATATTTTTACAATGGAAAAAAAAAAAACAACTTTTATTCTCTACCAAGAATAAGACAAGATCAAGAAATACCATCTTAATCTTTCCCTTCACATAACAAAGCTACTAAATGGTTTATCAAGCTCTCCTGACTCCCCAGACTGTACGCCAATCATGTTATTATGCCCTTTCCTAGAAAATACTGTGGAAGAAAAAAGGGGGAGAGATTTCCAGAAACCATTTCTAATTCTCACTTTTGATTTTAACAGATATGCTCACCATTTTCAGCTGAAAAGATGTTTCCAGGTTCAATGAAACCTGTTCATTGTTGCACCCCTAGTTTAACTTATGAACTGGTTAAAAACTAATGTTGCAGCATGTGAGATGATCTATTTTTTACAATTGTTTGTTGATTTGGGGGTGGGATGGGAAGGGCACACATACTGCCACACATATGGAAGCCAGGGAGCCCCTTTCAGGAGTTAGTTCTCTTCTTCCACCATGTGAGCCCTGGGGGCTAACCTCAGGTTGTAGTGTACTTAGTGGCACGTGCCTTTATCCAGTGAGCCATGCTACCAGCCTGGCTTATGAACAAAATGAAATGACGTCTGAAAATCACTGCAGAATAGCATGAAGTTAGGTTAAGATCGGTGTATACAGAAAATGATATGGGGAGTGGACTTACCCCTGAGTTCCTGGGGATTCGTAACACTGGTTTCCCTTTGTCTATGTTTACATAAATTAAATGTTCTGTAATAAAACGTTTTAAAAGTCATGCTGAAAAAGTAGCAAATGATCTCTACATTACACAAGCCCAACTTAAAAGCCACATGAGAGCTGAGCGTACTGCTGTACCCCTGTAATCCCAGTGCTCAAGGAGGCAGAGGCAGGCAGATCGCTGTAAGCCTAAGGCCAGCCTGGTTTAAAAAGTGAGTTCAGGACAACCAGGGCTACACAGAGAAACTTTTGTCTCGAAGAAACAAAAAACAAAACAACAACAAAAAGTGGCACTTGATAGGGGACATTTTAAATGTTGTTGTGAGGCAGAGTCTGTCTATGTAGTCCCCAAGTGCTTCAAACTACCATCCTCTTGCCTCAGATTCCCAAGGGCTGGGATTTTAGGAATGCCACCACATACCGCAGAGATCATGGGTTTAACAGACACTGTGTGTGCTGTTTCTAAGAGCATCCATTTATTTAAGGAAGATTTGAAAATATATGTACTAGGCACTATACCCTGCTACATAGAAAAATTGAACAGGAGACACCTGATTTTTGTCAAAGATGCCAAAACCATACAATAGAAAAAAGACAGCATCCTCAACAAATGCTGCTGGACTAACTAGATGTCTACGTGTAGAAAAAGAATGCAAATAGAGCCATACTTATCACCTTGCACAAAACGAAAATCTAAGTGGATCAAAGACCTTAATATAAAACCAGACACACAAAACCTGTTAGAAGAAAAAGTGGGTAAGTGCCTTGAACTCATTGACACAGAAGACAACTTCCTGAACAGAACACCAACAGCACAGGCTCTAAGATCAACAATCAATAAATGGGACCTTATGAAACTGAAAAGCTTCTGTAAAGCAAAGGGCACTGTCATCAAAACAAAACGACAGCCTACAGATTGGGAAGGATCTTCACAAACCCTATATCTGACAGAAGACTAATATCCAGAATATATAAAGAGCTAAAGAAGTTAAAGAGCAACAAATCAAGTAATTCAATTAAAAAATGGGGTACAGAGCTGAACAGAGAATTCTCAATAGAGGAATATCGAGTGGCAGAGAAACACTTAAAAGAAACGCTCAACATCCTAGTCATCAGGGAAATGCAAATCAAAACGACCCTGAGATTTTACCTTATACCCATCAGAATGGCTAAGATCAAAAACTCAAGTAAGAACATATGCTGGAGAGGATGTGGAGAAAGAGGGACCCTACTCCATTGCTGGTGGAAATGTAAACTTGTACAACCACTTTGGGAATCAATCTGGCGCTTTCTCAGACAAATAGGAATGGTGCTACCTCAAGACCCAGCTGTACCACTCCTAGGCATATATCCAAAAGATGCTCAAGTATACAACAAGGACATTTGCTCAACCATGTTCATAGCAGATTTATTTGTAATAGCCAGAATCTGGAAATAACCCAGACACCCCTCAGTTGAGGAATGGATACAGAAATTGTGGTACATTTACACAATGAAATACTACTTAGCAACTAAAAACAAGGAAATCATAAAATTTGCAGGCAAATGGTGGGATCTAGAAAAGATCATCCTGAGTGAGGTATCCCAGAAGCAGAAAGACACACATAGTATGTATTCACTTATCAATGGATATTAGACATATAATATAGGATAATCATACTAAAATCTGTACACCTAAGGAAGCTAATCAAGAAGGAGGACCCTGGGTAAGATGCTCAATCTTCATTCAGAAAGGCAAATGAGACGGACATCGGAAGAGGGAGAAAACAGGGAACAGGACAGGAGCCTACCACAGAAGGCCTCTGAAAGACTTCACCCAGCAGGGTATCAAAGCAAATGCTGAGACTCATAGCCAAACTTTGGGCAGAGTGCAGGGAATCTTAGGTAAGAAAGGGGAGATAGAAAGGAAAGCAGAGATAGAAAGACCTGGAGGAAACAGGAACTCCACAAAGGGAGCAACAGAACCAAAAAGCTGGGCACAGAGGTCTTTTCTGAGACAGATACTCCAAACAAGGAGATAACTTAGATAACAAACATGGAGATAACTTAGAACCCCTGCACAGAAGTAGCCCAAGGCAGCTCAGTATCCAAGAGGGTTCGTTCCCCAATAACAGGACCAGGGACCATCTCTGACATGAACTCAGTGGCTGGATCTTTGATCACCTCCACCTGAAGGGGGAACAGCCTTGCCAGTCCTGATGAGACCTGATAAACTATGGTCCAATGGAAGGGGAGGAGGACCTCCGCTATCACCGGACTGGGGAAGGGGCATAGGAGAAGAGGGAGGAAGGGTGGGATTGGGAGGGGAAGGAGAGGTTGCTACAGCTGGGATACAAAGTGAATAAACTGTAATTAATAAATAAAAAGTAAAAAAAAAGAACAGGAGGAAAAGAAAAACACTAGCTACCCTCTCAAATTCCTCAAAGTGTCCAATCTTGTTGGGTAGCACCAGCATGTTAGACTAGTAACACACAGGTGCTATGCCAGCACTAAGGGACGGTGCTGAAGGACCAAAGGGGATCCATTCATTGTGCTTATGAAAGGAACTGGGGTTGATGGCAACTTCCTACAGAGAACAGCATTTGAAGACTGGATGCTTTCACCATGGAACGAAAGTGGAGTGTGTTCAGAAATTTAAAACAGGAAGAAGAATTGAGCAAAAACAAAAGGCTCAAGGAGAGCAAGGTGTGTGCTGAGAATTACAAGCAGTCTGGGTGTCTGCAGAAGGCAGATGGGGAAGGGGAGGGTCGGGCAAGGAGAAAGAGAGTGAGATGGCCAAAGACACATTCTACCAGGGTGCTGGTGTCAGACTAAGCAGCCAAAGTGTTAAAGCGAAGAGAGGACTTTCTCTACGTGTATTTAGGACTATCCCTGTACTTTACAATCATTTCTCTGTTAGAGCTGTTTAGTTGCAAGCCAGGAGAAAAAGAGGCCAGAGACAAAGAATATCTACCAAAAACCCGGCGCCCAGACCAAAGCAGCAGAAGTTGAAAAAGCTGGCAAGAGTTGGAAAGGGCAAAGAGCAGGGTCAGTTTGTGTGGAGGGGAGAGCAAAGGACAGCAAGAAGGAGAGGGTGATTTTATCAAGTAATCTTTTTCCTCTAGAAACAGAGTCTGGGTAAACAGTGATGGAAGTGAACAATGCATGGAACACAGGGAAAAAAACCTGAAAACAGGAAGATCAGCATTGAATGTGCTGAACAACAAAGCACTGTCCCTGCACATTAGAAGACTCAGATGCATCCATATAATATATGAAGCGAATTTTGTTACTTAAAAGTTTACACACCTTGAAAGGCAACATTCCAAGTTACTCACCAGGCCTTTGATCCTGTTCCAGTACATAAATTGAGCCCCGAACTCTTCTGCTTTTCCCATGGGCCATCATCAACTGATATCTCATAATAGGAAGCCCTATGAATTGAAAACAGAAAGCTGTGTTTGCTGAGCTGTGTGAGGCCTTCAAAGTTCATGAAATCTAAGTAAGCCAGCTTGACCCAGACTCTGACTCAATAGGTACAGACATCACCGTGCTAATTCCACTGCTGATTAAGTGAAAAAATTAGAAGGAGAAACCGTTTGTTTATCTACATGCCTTTCTGATCTAGATGCCCCCTTTCCTATCAAAACAATGTTTCAGACAGGGCTTGTCCATTTTTCTATCAGTGCTGCTTCTGCTCTTATGGAATCTACCATACACAGAACTTCCTTTCAGCGTTCAAACAATTTCATCTTTAAGTGGTATCATTTTTGGCACCTATTCCTTGACATAACAGCATCTAGTTCTTTGTGCTAAGCTCTTATTTAAGTCATATGCTAGTATACCATTTTAAATGGTAGCAGCTAACAGATAAAACTGTAAAGAAAATTCTCAACCAATTCAATCCCAGCAGACAAAACTAAGACTCAAAAGTATAATTTCTTACAACTGACATGTTTTAGAATATTCTATAAATGTGAAATCAAATGAGTTTTATGACACCAAAAAAAAAAATGACACTATTCTTTAAATACCAAGTGAATGACAGAAATAACTTCTGAAATATATAAAAGCCTACTGTGTAAAACTCTTATTCTAAAATAATGGTGTCACTGACAAACACTAGACTGTTTCTTCAGCAAATTAAGAAGTTAAAGCCTTAATAAAATATAGGTTTTCAAAATAAGTTATTAAACACTCATGTAAACAGTTATACTACAGTGATTTATTTCTCATTCTAACTCATTCAACATCTTCTCCAAGATCCTAATAAAGTTTTACATGATGTAACTTCTTTTTCTTTCTTTCATTACTGTTCTCTATAAAGAACGGGCCTAATATTCACCTTTAATCTATTTCACAGGTCAGTTATTTCTTCTTTGAAAAAGCACATTAGAAGCCTATTTTGCACAGACAAGCCAGCCAAATTCCCAGCAATGTCTGCTACTGTGCTAGAAAGAAGCAAAGAGCAGTGAGTGAAGAGTAGAGAGGATCAGAAGTGAACAGGAGAAAATTAAAGCCAGGTGAGAGATGTTGAGCCCAAAATGATAAGCAAATTTAGTGTCATTCTACATGCAAGTTTATTGGGATTAGTTAATTCATAGAATTTTTGTTTGGGAGAAATTATTTTTAATTCAGCAATAAAACTCACAGTCCCTTTAGATTGGGTATATTTCTTCTTAAATTGTCCACTGCTACAGCCCAACAATAAGGCATTCTAGGTTAGAACAGACAGAAAAAGAAAAAAAAAAAAAAACATGGACTTTTAGAATGTTCTTCAATCTAAGAACATTGAAAGTGAGGCAGGAAAAACATTGCTGCATTTCTTTTCTTCCAAGCAAAGTGCGTAAGGTTCCAGGGCACAGAAAAGCCTCAACACGGGGCCTGGGATCAAGAATTAGCTAACGGGCTCAAATAACAGTTTTGCTTCTACATAGCTATGCAACCTACACAAATTATCTGATCCTTCTGGATCTCTCTACTGTCACTGACAAAACAGCTACCTTCCTCATGGGGCTGCTATGAGCACTAAGTAATAGAATATAATACACACAGCTTGACAAGACAGCAGACGCTTAATGTGTTCATGTTCGTTTTGCCTAAGGGTCTAGTTATAGTTTTAAAAAAAATTAAAAAAAAAAAAAGGCCCTGAAGCCTCCAAAATAGTTTCACCATGTTCAACGCCACAAAGCTGAACCACTGCTTGCTTATCTTTCTAAAGATCTATGGAGAGACATCAAAGAACAAGAAGCAGCAGCAGCAGACATCATCTGAGCGACTTCACTGACTCCCAGCCTGTCATCTACTCTGTTTTCCTCCTCTTCTACATTATCTCTCCAATGAATATAAAGTGTGCAACAGCCTGGAGGTGGCAGCTCCCTGCAGCTACCCATACCTCCTCCACAAAGCACAGGGTAAAGTAAGCCACAAATGTCTTCTCACAGTAAACATGGACTCACACATCTGTTTCAGTTAATGGACACTCTCTGGTGCCTTTCTCATCCTCTTTTATACATCATAGAATATATCATAATCTCCATATTATGTGAAATATGACATGCAGAATGAGACACAACTTTCCAAATGGATAGATCACATATCTCACTATGTTAAAATAAGTACATTTTACACTTAGGTACTTATACATCTCCTGTAAATATTTAATTTCTTAAAAGAATATTGTAAAGATTTAAAAACTTATGTTTCCACCAACCTCCAAAAACTTAATGTACCATTACATTTTGAATACATATCTTTGTATCCCAAGTGGCTTACACATGGTATATAACAAACACACAATATGTTTTTACTGAATAAATATTATATAAAATAAAATAACCACAATAATTCAGAAGGATTGTTCAATTAATTCTGCCTCATTAGTCCTCACCATTTTAATGTACATTGGATTTACAATAAAACTATTGGCACTGTAATAGCTAGAATGTGGGTGTCACTTTCAGTTATGGGGAACCTCTCTCTTCACAAACTTATGAAAGGATATGACTTGCAATAACAAGAACTAGCAATGCTACATAAATTTCAATGACACGGCTCTCAAAGAATTGTGTGGGTATGGTACCAACATGGTAAGACATGAACTCAGCTCCAGTCCCCATATCTAATTTATACAATCTACAAAATGGAGAAACTAAGCATAAAGTACTACAATGGAACTGACTTTATTCCATGGTGGGCATGGTGGTTTAAAGGTTGGGAAAAAAATGTTGGTATTCCAAAGCTGTTATATTTAGGTCTCAGAAAACACATTATCGGTAATAATATATATCCCACAGTTTTACATGAAATTAATTTTCACTAACAATGGTGATATCTATTTGTGTGTGCACACGTGCACCAGTGGGACTTAATCCTAGAGATTTACACATGCCAGGCAAGGATTCTGCCCCTGACATTAACTCCAGCCCTTAATAAAGACATTAAACTGTCAATACACTTGCCTTATGGTTACGCTGAACACTGAACACAACAACATAGCACGGTCAAAAAGGCCTTATCTGAAGCACCTGTACTGAACACCAGGCAGACATAAAATAAGGGGTGTCCTGTAACCAGCCAGCTCAGACTAGCCAAAGATATTAGTACCACAAGTGACAAAAGTGGGCTGAGACAAAATGACAAAGTAAGGTGAGTTATTAATTTTATAAGCATAAGGCCACAATAGTGAAATGCAATGTGTGATTCATAATTGGATCCTATATAAAAATAAGCAAATAAGCAAATCAGCCTTAAAAACATTAATAAGCAGAGATATGTTTTCCTCCTGAGCATGTGTGTATGTTTATGTATGTACAAGAAGGGGAGAGAGATGCATGTGTTCTAAGAGAAATAGTGTGTATGTGAGAGAAAGTGTGTGAGAGAATGTGTATGTGTGTGAGAGTTGTGTATATGTGTGAGTGTGTGTACGAGAGACAGAATGTTTACGTGTGAGAGAGAAGTCTGTACTGTGTTGTGATGGGAGGGTCAGGAAGAAGGAGGGGAAGACGGAGGATGGGAGAGATCCAGGAGGTGCGTAGGTCTTCACTATGTCGCCCAGACATGGCTTCAAGCTCCTGGGCTCTAACAAGAGGCTCCCCGCTCTGTTAGAGGCCTCCTGAGCAGCTGGGTCTAGAAATGTGCTACTACACTCATTTTTAAAAGAGAATTATAATACAGACTACCTAGGAAACGTGTGGGTTACCAGCAAATGTATGCTTCATACCTCACACTCCTAGGCCTTTAGAAATCATGTTTATGATAAAGGTACTGGGAAGGAATGCAGGAAGGACTATGAGTAACTGCTGAATGTGAACTTTCACTAAATTTTCCCTCATAGAATATTTTATTTCCTTGGTTATCAGCATGTATGCTGGCCTTGGAAGTAATTTTGTTGAATAATTAACTTCTACTACCTATAGCAGTACTTCTTCAAGCCAGGCCTTAGGAATCACTGAATTCTACATTCAAGATCACAAGCTACAAGGTACCTTGAAGACAGGCTCTCCCCAATGAAGATTTCATTGAGTGCTCTCACTGGCAAAAGCTGAGGTCCTGAAGCCTCGGATCCTGCAGAAGGTGAGAGGGCCAAGAGAGTTCCTTGAATTTCAGAACTATTAAATATAAAAAGCTCATAAAACTCCTAAGTTTTAAAAGCATCGTATTCTTTACTACCAACTAACACAATCATCTTAAATCATTTGGAAGATAAAACCTAAATCACCTAGTCTGTACCAACAAATCAAACTTCTGGCTCTCCAAAATAATTTAAGTACATGATTAACTGAGTCTTATCTGGAAAGCGTTAGAGAAGGAGCTGATCAAACACTTGTGAAGAAGCACCACCCTGGATTCTGGTCACAAGTTACCTGCATGGTTCACACTGGAAACCAACCCAGAAAGATCAGTTATGTCAGAAGCCACGCCTACAATGTCTCACTGACATGACTGCACAAACTTGAGCTGAACAAGGACAACAACTATGAAGCCCTAACCCTACAGAAAGAACTCTAGGCAACTAAGGAACACTGAAAGCAAACAAATACTCTTTGCCAGGGGAGAGCACAGCAATTGGTTATCCAATACCAAATGCTCTGCCCTGAAAACATACTTGCAAGTAACAGACAGACAGAGCACATTATATTTAGGAATGTACATGTGTATATTCATATACACTATGCATATAACAACCATTAATGAAAAATGAGGCTATGAATTTGAAGAAAAAAAAAAACAAGGAGGGGTACATGTGAGGGTTTAGAGGAAGGGAAGGAAAAACATTCTAATCGCCCATCCAAAATATTAAATATGAAAAGAAAGAAAAAAGCAAGAAAGGGGGGGAGAGAGACAGAAAGAGAACAGTAGATTATTTTTTCAGTAAGGAAGCCTCAATAATGTTTTCAGGAATGTCAACGTTAGAAAAAAAAATCTGTAAAAACCCCAATATTCTGTTTAATATGTTTAATCAAGTAAGTGTTCTCCATCACTATAACAGAAAACCCTTAAAGTATTTTCAGTATGGGGGATTAAATTGATCTTGTCACCTTTGAAGAGCTCCCTTCACTTTTTTGTCCTTTATCAATTTTCAAGCGGAAATGTCAGCCCCATCCCCTCTGTGTCATTAGTAGCAGTACTGAAGTTAAATGTCTTGCACTAGGTAAACATTATGCTGAGCCTGATGGCCAACTGTCGGGCAGAGTGAATGGAATTTTAGGTAAGAAGTGGGAAATAGTAAGAGCTGGAGAGGACAGGAACTCCACAAGGAGAGCAACAGAACAAGAAAATTTGAACACAGGGAACTTCCCAGAGACTCATACTCCAACCAAGGACTATTCATGGAGATAACCTAGAACCACTGCACAGATGTAGCCCATGGCAGTTCAGTGTCCAAGTGGGTTACCTAGTAATGGGAAGAGGGACTGCCTCTGACATAATCTGATTGGCCTGCTCTTTGATCACCTCCCCCTGCGGGGGGAGCAGCCTTACCAGGCCACAGAAGAAGACAATGCAGCCACTCCTGATGTGATCTGATAGACTAAGATCAGAAGGAAGGAGAGGAGGACCTCCCCTATCAGTGGACTTGGGGAGGAGCATGCATGCAGAAAGGGGAGGGAGGGTGGGATCGGGAGGGGAGGAGGGAGGGGCTTATGGGGGGATACAAAATGAATAAAGTGTAATTAATAAAAAATGTAAAAAAAAAAAATTATGGCCAAAGTTAATTTTTCCCTTCCATCCACACTTCCCCTATTTCAACACTTATCAAGTCCATCCAGGTTTACAGTAGGCAGCCTCCAGGCTCTAGCCTGCCATCTCCGAGTCACACATCCCATTATATCCCACGGGGGGTGGGGGGGGGGGTGATAGGGCCAAAAGATACAACATGAACGTTCTACTCTGCACCTACTTCTGAGCCTAGGTTAGAGAAGACACTGCACTTCTACCTTGCTGTGTGTGTCTCTGGCTCTGTCTGTCTGTCTGTCTGCCTCTCTCTCATCTCACTCATGTGGGGTAAGGCTGGAACTGAAGCTTCTATGACAACCACATGAGAAGCAGCAAGTGAATTCTCCAGTCCCAGTCATATCTTCAAGTACTGTTGTTCTGCTAGAAAGCTCAAATGTCACAGCATGAGGAACCCCAAACCAGAACTAACCAGTTAAAGATGTTTCTGGATTCTGAGCTTCACATCCTGTGAGATTATAAATGTGTATGCCTAAAATGCTAAAGATTGGAGTAGTCTAGCAATAGAAATCTAACTCACATTAGAGACTGAATAGACTGCGCCACACCACCACCAACACAACTTCTGACCTCTGAATCTGCTTATTATATAAGTCTGAGCACATGTTTTTTTTATATCAAAAAGGCTAGTTTTCTTATTTCTTCTGGATTTTAACCTCATAAGCGGAACTACATATTCTTTTGGCTATAAAGGGTTCCTGTGACAATACCAGGAGTTCTTTGATCAATTGTTATTTGCCTGCTTTGTCAACTCAACAGAATAAACCTGACATATCAAGTCCTGGGAATACAGGAACACACCACCACACCTGGCCAAAGAGCCTTATTCAGGATATTCTGTGTTTAACTAAATTTTATTGTATTCAAGGCCATAAATCATTTACCTTTTGATATTATCCCACTCTGCTTCATGACATAGCCACAACCTCATATTTGACAGTTTGACAAATGTACAATGCTAAAAACTTACTGTTTGGATTATTTTTTCTTAAATAAAATAATTATTTTTAGAACTTTTTAGGTCTTATTCTCCATGGATTCTCCGTAAAATGTTCAGCTAACAGCAGAGATTCAACAAATATTATTAGTAAATATGAAATCTTGCTATCTGTGTAATTTTCTTAAATATGGACTTACCTTTCCATTTGAGTTTCTATTTTCCATTCCATAGCGTGTGGTTTTTCTGCTTTTGTTTTGGAGTTTGTTTTGTTGTGAAGACAGGGTGTGGTGGTTTGAATAGGAATGGCCCCATAGACTCCTGTGGTTAAATGCTTGGCCCACAGGAAGTGGCACTACGAGGAGGTGTGGCCTTGTTAGAGTTGATATGGCCTTGTTGGAAGTAGTGTGTCACTACGGTGGGAGGCTTTGAGGACTCCTATGCTCAAACTATACCCAGTGTGGCATACAGTCTCTACCTCCGAGTGCTGGGATTAAAGGTGTCACACTTGCCCAGGTTTTAAATAGATTCCGATGATCCAAACTCCATTCCTCACACTTGAACATAAATGCTTCATCCGCTGGGCCATCTCCACAGCCCAGCTTCTTTAGTGAGAGAGAAAATAAAATTTCTAGCTACAATTAAATCTTACTTGAACTATGAAAGATTTTCAAAACTAGTAATAGAAATTCATGTATATTTAATACCTCAAAAGACTTACAAAAGCAAACCATTTTGTTTCTTTGTTTTCCTTGAGACACCGTTTCTCTGTGTAGCCTTGGCTGTCCTGGACTCCCTTTGTAAAAACCAGGCAGCAAATGATTTTTTTAACAGAAAGAGAATCTTTCCAACAGACATGAACTCAGACTTTAGAAAGGGAGATGGCATAAAGGGAGGGGAGGTAAGAGGAAGGGACTGGGAGAAAGGGAGGGAGTAGAAGCTCCAATAGGGATATAAAGCAAATTAATTAATTAATAAAAAGAAATAAGAAATATGCTAGTACAATGCTTTCAATCACCATGACACAAGCAGAAAGAGGGTGTGGTGTGGGGGTTAAAAAGGCATTCCTGAAATTACCCAGAAATATGTCAAAAAGAAGAAAAGTATCTTTTTATAACAGTCCATGATTATTTCTTTGGGAAATAATTATTGAAAACAATAAAGTATATGACAAAATTAAAATTCATAAATTAGAGCAAAGCTGAATATTTACTTTAACCCTCATACAAAACAGTTGCAAATTGCCATCTGTCAGGATTCTCCTTAATCTACTTCAAATAGCAATCTCAAAGCTGGGATGCAAAATTTTCCAAGAAAGATTTTAATCAACAACTATAGTAAATACAGTTAAATACAAAGAGCGAGAGAGTTAAGTATACTTATAACTATAGTATACATATAACACATACTTATGAGAGTCCCAGTCAATTTCTATGTCTCCCTTTTGACTTGTCAAAGGTCTTTCCCTAAGTGTCAACTATCCTGCCAGGTATTTAATAATTCATCCCTAATCAACTAATTTCAAAACTGTCCTAGAGAGAGAGTGCTACTTCTTTAGATTCTAATTATTAAAAAAAAAAAAAAAAAAAAGCCAGCAAAAGTATTTTCTTAGGAGTTATTAGTGTTACTAGAAGCAAAGTAAATGTAAATCATTGCTTCAAAACGCCCACTCTCCACCCCACCTACTTTCATCAACTCTTTCGATGTTGAAGGCTCGGCTATGCTGACTCAAGCTCAGCTGCTGTTCATGAAGGTCCACAGGAGTGGGGTTTATGCCAGTCCCTTCCAGGTACAACCTGATACGCTGCCTCCACAGCCACCTGAAAGTGAAGAAAGGAAGGAAGGCCAGTGGAGTAAGGATCAGACATTATAACAACTAGGCAAACTGACAAATGGATATGAGAAGGTAATTATAGGTTAAGCATGCACTGGGGAGGTAGAGGCAAGCAGAACTCTGTGAGTTCAAGACCAGCCTAGTGTACTAGGCTAGTTCCAAGTAGCTAGTTCCAAGACAGCCAGACCTACATAGTGAGACCCTGCCAAAAAGGAGGGGGGAGCAGCTAATCATTCCGTGAATAAATTATAGCTCAAACACCTAAAGCCCACAGGTCCCTACTGAAGGCTTTGTGTGCGCATGTTACCTCTCCTCCCAGCTTATATAAAACCCACAAGCTAATCTGAATTAAAATCTTACTAATAACCCATTAAATCCATAAAAGCTAGACATAAACATCTACCACAGAAGGCAAACAGTACCCAATTAAGGTGAATATATTTGACTAAAGTCCCCCAAATTTTCAAAATTGTTTTTAAACAAATATAGAAACCATCCCACCATCCACATCTCCAGCTCTGAGAAATACTTCTTTAAAAATCCCATCCCACTGCTTAAAAAACACTTCACAGGTAAGAAAAAGACACTAGGAACTGATTAAACATGCAATCCTCCATTTGTACAAATATAAAATTGAATCTTCAGTTTTACCAAACAGCTTGAACTATAGCTCTCTACCAAATGATAAGAACATGTATTAATAATAAGACTTTAAAAAGTGAGGGTGACATCACTCTCATTGAGGGAATAAAATCTTCATTTGCAATTATACACCAAGTACCATTCATCATGCTTTCTCTACTGTCTTCTTACTGGACTAGAAGACAGGAGAGATCAGTGACTGACTCCCTGCATTCTTCACAGCTACTTTTGTTAACTATGAAACACCCCAGTTTTCTGCTTGTCCTCTTTTTGAGCAGCAGCAGCAGAAGCACATCTTTATCAAAGACTCAAATAAGAGTCGGAAATTCCTACCTGAACTCACCACGAGAGAACTTCTGTAAGGCTTCAGGGAAGGAATGTGTGTATCGCACAGGCAGGCATAAATGACCTTCAGACCTGTGAGGTAAGGGCACAATGCGCAGGTGGTTCAGGGCAGAGGAAAATGGGTAGAGGAGAAAAAACTCAGAGCAGCACTAAACAACAAAAACTAGAGACCAATTTTTCTAAATTTCAACCCTAAACATCACTTCTGCCACAAACAGAAATACTCTGTTCCAATAATAACAAAAACACTGAATTAATCACAGTCCACAACCAGCTTTAATTACACCTATGTTTACACACTATAATCACTAAAAATAATAACAAAATTCCACTACCAATCACTCTGTCAACTCACCCAGTGGCAGAGTGGGATCCTTGCCTTTTACCTCTAAATTACCTAACTATTACCTTCAAATAAGTCACATTACAATTGTTTTCTTATTTCCAAATTTTTGATTAAGCCACCAGCCATGAAGGTTATTCTGAAGAATCAAATTGTGAAATGTGAGAAATCCAATTATGAGAAAGCATTTCAACTACTTAAGATATCCTTAAACAAGAGTTGAGAAAACTCCTCCCCATATAACCTTTCATTTACTGAAAAAGAAAAAAAAAAAAAAAAGTAAAAATGAACTTCAAGAAATTCACAGAAGCCAGGCACAGTGGCACATGCCTATAATCCCAGCACTCAGAGGTAGAGGCAGATGGATGTTTGTGAGTTTAAAGCCAGCCTGGTCTACAAAACTGGAAGGATGCTCTGGGGTTAGAGTATGCACTGCTCTGGTAAAGGACCAGAGTTCAGTTCTCAGCACCCATGCCAGATAGCTCACAACCATCTATAATTCTAGTTCCAGGGGACCTATATCCTTTTCAGAGTCAGATGGCCGCGAACTCACATGATTATATCCCAAACAGACACATGTTCACATATACACAATTAAGAATAAAATCTGTAAAACAAAAAGTAAAACTTATAAAGTGGTAAGATTCCTTTTAAGTTGGTGCAGGACAGCGACACAGAAAATGTCATTATCAGCATTCTTATGGTGCTCTAGTCTAGAAGAAATGGCCAAGTAGACCTGGCAAAACAAAGACTTGATAATAAATTAACTAATTGTAAAATGTAAGTTATGAGTGGAGAAAGAAGTTTTGCAAAGTACAGTTAATAGATTTCTTCATGTACAGAGATAACAGGTAGGACCTCATTGGGGGGGGGGGGTCCTTTGAGACAAAGTATCACAGATTGCTTACAACTCTGGGTGCTGGGATCTCAAGCCTAGACCATTAAAAATTAATTAAACTAAAAAATAGTTTATTAAAACCACTAATAGTTTGCACAATGTTTACTAAGTAAAAGGTAACATAGTAATTTGATTAAAAAAAAAATATCTCCTTGGGTTAAGTGCAATTCTAAACTACTGTCCACAAAAGGTGACATTCTCTCAAGGGGCCATACACTCAGACATCAGCTTGGGCTCCAGGTATCTGAAGGCCTCACTTAGGCTACTAGAGCCATTTCCAAGATTGCTTAAGGCTGAGAAGCTAGTGCCAGCTACAAGCAGGAGGTCTCAGCTTCTCTGATGTGAGCCTTTCTTCAAGGGGGTACCACAGTGACCTCAGGCTCATGGTAACTGACCAGTTAGTGAGTAATCCAACACAGAAGCTGCAACGTGTCACTTAGAAGATGGCTTAGAATTTTCAGTGTCACTCCAGTTCACTGGCCTCACTGGCCAGCCCTGACTGAATTAATTGGAGGGCAAGATCGAAGCCACAGAGGGTGAGAATATTAGGAGGCTAAGGGGAGCTGACACTATGGCATTCAAAGGCTAATCCTTTACCAGGCTCAGCAGAGTACATGGAAGAAGGAAGAGAACAACTGAATGATAACGGCCTTTCAGGTGGATCCATGAGTGAACCATCTTAAGGCAGATGTTCTGGCCCAAAGGAAGGCCTCAGATGCCTGCAGCCCTAGATGACCTCTCTGACCTCACGACAAGGTAGTAATACAGCTTTCCTTTTTCTCCATTTTCTACTTTAAAGCAAAAGAATTATCAGTTCTTTGATTTGTCCTCTTGCCTCCATGGCCAGATCTAAGGCCTCAGAGTTTAGTCAACTCTCACAGGTTTTATGGTGCTTTGTTTGGTTTCATTTTTAAGAAACTACAGTTCAACCATAAAATCACCTAATAACCTCTTATCTTAATTCTATAAAAACAGGTTATTAAGAATCTCTAAAACCCACATGCATCCACAATGAAGAGACTCAAAGGTTAATTACTAAACTAATGATCTCACTTTCTTAAACTCGGAGAACATTAATTCAGCTAGGTTGAAGTCCCAGGCCTGCTTACTACGATCTTTTAATTATATTCATTATTCAAAGTTTCCTGAATTCTATGTATAAAACTTGTTAATGTTAGAGAAATTAAGATACAAGGTCCTACTCAAAAGAATTAACAGTATAACAGAAGAGACTGCCTAAGGATGAGCCACAGCAGTACAATTTTAGACTCCATCTTGAGGGAATAGCCAGGGATACTCTTGGCATTAGCACAAGCACACTCTTGGCAGAAGAACATGAAATGCATGAAAATAGCACAGGCCTTCTGGAGAATGCTCTCACTCCTTGGAATCATCCACCACCTCCTATGTCAACAAAGCCTCTGGCCAGAGCCAAAGCTTCCTAAGGCAGTCTCCCACCACAGTGGGAACAGACACGCATATGGTTAACGTTCACAATGAGCCTTTCAGAAAGATTCTGGGCTGCTCCTAGAAGTTTAAATCTATGTATGCATTTTTCAACTGAAAAATATATAGTGCCCATAAGTATATGAGGATAGATGAGAGTAGAAGAGCCGATAAGCAACAGATGGCCAAAGACTGGATATATTCGCTAAGAGGTTTGCAATGCATCCTAAAGATCACAGGGGAATTGTAAAACATTTTAATTAAGGAGTAACAGTAATCAGACTTGCACTTTAAAAAGAGAGTAGGAGTTGTGTTATAGCTCGTGTGTAAAATGTCCTCTACCACCTTCTATGTTTGAACACTTGCTCACTGAAATATTTTCAACAGAAGCCTATGAAGACCTGAGCTATGTTTAGTGGCAGTGAAAATGGTAAGAGATGAACTCAACGGTGTCATCTGAACAAGGCCCAAGCATGGTCAAGTCAGTCTATCTAGCATGGACTGGAAGGCGTTCATAAGCCCTAGCTCAAACTCAAGAGCTATGGAGAATTGACGGCTTCTGGGAAAAGCTGAGTCAGTCTTCTATTAGTGTGTGGCTGGTGGGTCAACCACACTCCAGGACAGCCCCACACCCAGAAGTATTTGGACAGCACAGAAAGAATTAATTAAGTTATTAAAAAAAGACAAAAAGTTGTTGACAAGGTGGAGATATGGAGGTAGATCGGGAGGAACTAAGGCAAATATGAATTCATCTAAAAACTTTTGACAGGTAGAATCAAAGGTATAATTACTAGAATTTGATGAGGGAATAAGAAAGAAATCACAACTTCATCACAGGTAATGGTTCCACTTCACAAGAAAGAAGCAAAAGAGAAAAACAGTGATCATTTGTAGACAAGCTGGCTTTTTTTTTTTTAATACATCTGATGAAACACCAATTTCCTTGAACAGCATGAAAAAAGAAAAAAAATAACAGGAGATTAGGCAGAAGACAGTCAGAACCCACCAGATAACGAGTCTTGTGACTCAGTGAAGGGTGACTAGTTCCCTGAGAAAAAGGATCTACGTGGCAAAACTAAAACATCAGAGGAAAGGCAGGGCGGGTTAGGGATCACATTTAGAACCTGACTTCCTCGGGCAGAATGGGGGTCAATGGAAAGCTTTGAGAGACAGTATGAAGCATCACTGACTCGCGGGCACACTTAGGACGAAGATGGAAGCAGAAAATGTTCTAGACAACAAAGCACAAAAGGAGTCAAAATATAATTGTGAAAACAGCACTATAGAACAGTGACCCAAAAGAAGTTCCTTTAAAAGAAATAGATACAAAGAAAAAAATCAAAGGTAGAGAAAAAAAAGAATTTTACAAATGCCAATAGAATAAGGGAGGGCTATGTTTAAATCCTCAAATCAAGAAAGACAGCACCTGTATATACTGTCTACTGGGTTCAGGGATCACTGGTCTCTTCAACAGTATCAGTGAACTGGTTGAGGATGAATCCAGAAAAGGCACAAAGGTTTAGAGCTGGGAAGTGAGAACACAAGCTACATTTGGGCTCAAGGGAAGAAAGGAAACAGTAACTGAGATGCAGCTCGGGAAGGAAGCCCAGAGAAGTCTTGGAAAGGTGAGAATACAGGCTGAGAGGTATCACGAGCAAAGGGGATGGGTGACAGGAGATCTACCTTCATGCCCTCTGTGAATGTGGGGAGGGCTTTCTCAAGGGAGAAGAGGACACAGAAGGTACAAAAGTGAGCAGCCCTGGCGTAGGCAAAGATCCCATGAGCGGTTAAGATTAAGCTGGAAGTGCTAGCAAGCCCAAGTCTCTAATATTTTTTTAAGCATAATATAGAAAGAGAATAATGACAAGCTGATCTAGAATTGAGCAAAAAGACAATGATTTAGAAATATTTAAGGAGCCACCAAAGAAATAAATAATATGAAGAAAACAGCGAAGACCCAAGCACTGAACAATGAAGGGCAGATCTATGGGGATGAGGGGGTAAGACTGCTATTAAGAGTGTGTGTTCCTACAAATGAGATTATGGAGCTGGAAAACTCCAGATGAATTTTATTAAGTCCAGTTATGGTCATGGCTCTAAATGGCTGGAATACACAAGAGTTAATGTCAGTAAAGCTGGTGAAGAAAAGAAAAAAAAAAGTTTTCCAAAAAATGAAACCAATGCACAAAGTCCCTTCAGGCCTGACCACTATTAAGAGATATGTAGGGAACGGTGGGTACACATCAGTCTTCCAAATGTATCGGCAATCACTTGGTCAACTGTGCATTTTTCACTGAATTGTTTTTGGAACATGTTCTGAGGTTCACTGCAGCCAGGAACAAAGAAGCTTGCACTTTAACATCATGCAGTGGAATTAAAATCAACAGAGCCCTACATCATGACTACACAGAGAAAATAAAGAATAGCTTAGAAAGTTTAAGAAAGTTTAAGAGTCATCAAAAGTAGAGACATACAAAACAAAGTGGAAATGTCTACATGTAGAACACTTAAAAAACTAGCCCTACAAACCAGACACAAAACAAACATGCTCTCGCTTACCTTTCTGGATCAGTGTTGACCCCAATGACAGGTTTAAGTCTGTCCAGGACTTTACTTGCTGCCAGAAGCATCGTGCCATCACCTAATACAGAGCAGGAGACACAACCAGACTTGTCTTATAGAGCAGTTTCAATATCATCTTCAAAACCAGGAGTTTTCTTTTAAACCCTACCCTCCCAGCCAGATGCCACTGCTTCCCCTCACCCATGCCTGCAGTGCTGTGCTGTGCTGTGCCTGTTATAATGAGCTGTCTGTTTACCTGTGCTGTGCCTGTTCTACCTTGTTGTTTCTATTGCACTGATTCAAGATTTCAACAGTGGCAAGACTGGCAGAAAAGTATTTACGGTAGAAGGCTGCTAGAAGCTGTCCTATACTTTAGGGCTGTTGGCAAAATTTCTCGCCTTAGTAACCCATTAAATGACAATAATGCTACCCAACCGGACATCACTGGCCAGGATTCAGCTCTATTCCCAAACATCGCCTTCCCTGGCTTATAAAACCAGTCCAAAGATTATGAAAGTTCAGTAAAAAATATCCAACTATGGCCAAATTTAATATGCTCTCGCCAACAACTACTTTCAATTTAAAGCTGGGAAAAACTAATAACAAAACTCAAGAAAAAGGATATTTTGGTATACTGGGCCAAACAATGATAACCTCAATAAACTATCACTATTGGCTCTTTATTATGACTGTCATAATTAAACCAGAATACACTAACAAATCATCTTTTGAATTTAAAATTAAGACTGAAGAACACACAGGGAAACTCACAGCATGGAGAATTATAAATTAACTAATACTGAAGAATTCTAAATAGAGAGTCCAGGTACCTGGAAATAGCATGCACCCCAAAGCACCCCCAGCCCCAGCACTGTCTCTGGGAAGCAGTTACCTCCTGCAGCTATGACGGCGTCTGCCCACCGGACAGTCTCCTCATCATACTCCCTCCGCTTTACCAGACGAACCTCAATTCCTTCATCCCTAGGATAAGAAGTTGCACACCGTTTTCCACTGGTAACATATCTAAGACAAGGACATTTTCTAAGAGGCAGATTACTACCAAAAAAAAAAAAAAGTAAAATCTTTGTTGTAGAAACAAATCTAGGTGTAGTTTATAAAGTTAGCTTATAAAGCCAATTAACTATGACAAGCAGGAAGCAAAAAAATAAAAAGTGACGACCAAATCTCCATGTGCCTTAAAACAAATTTTAAAACCACTGACAGTAACACTGATTGGTCAGAATTTCACTTTCCTGTTTCTCATGCTGAAGTTTAATATAAAAATGTTTTTTATTTATTATGTTAAACATATATACTCATTATAAAACCAAAAAGCAACGAATATTCAAAAAATATTCATTCCGTGGCACACACTCAAAGTAGTTGGCATGCTCTTAGTTTCTTATTTTATAGTCCCTTAAACTTACTCAATAGCAAACCAAAGATTCTACGAGGGTTATTTTTAGATACAAACAATAATGTAATGAATTATCATACTTATTACTCTGTTCCAAGAAATAAAACTTTACACATACAGTGTTAGCCTACTGTGTACTGAACTAGCTACAGAAATAGTACTTCCCTAGTAGACAGATTTACTTAAAATATTTGAATTTTAAGAGTAAGAAAAAAATTCCTTAGAATATTATAAAGTCAGATCTTTTAACCTCAATATTATTTTTTGGAAATGTGGTTTTTGGGGGTTTTTGTTGTTGTTTTGCTAAAAATCCTGAGAATCAGATGCTAGTACAAATAAGATCAGAAATCCAGAATATAAAATCTCTTAAGACCCCATCCATGAACTTACCGCAAACTGTCAATTATATGTTCTACATTTTTGGTGTGAATATGATGTCGCTCAAGTAGTCCACTGTAGCTTGAGCCTTTCAATGCAAGCTACCAAAACAAAAGAAATGCTATTTTTACATCAAATATTACATATAATACGTTGTCATTTAAAAACTACGTAAGATAAAAAAAAATTAAAGGCACATTTTAATAACTGTCTATCTATGAAACCTACAAGTTCAAATTCAACTAAAGGCCAGATTTCAGAAAATCATAAGCTGATTTTAATATCAAACACAGCATTAGGATTCCAACAGTTTCCAAAAGGTACATTCAATATGGCTTTTTAAATGCCTTTACCAAATTGCATGAGGCCATCTAAAGGCCAAAGACAAGCTATCATTGTTAAAGGCAGTTGGCTGACCTATGATCCACTTGGATTTGCTCCTCCAGTGTCCACATTTATGGACCCTAACTAGAATTTGCCCTGCATCATCTAAACAAAGGGCTGTATAGGTCTCTGAGAAAGGGTAACTTCCACATACATAGAAATATATTCTTCAAGCAGTATTCTTCCTAGTTGATTCGAGTAATATTTTATATCTATCTTACCATTAATTACCTCTAAAGACTTAAATAATCCGAAAAGGAAAATATAAAGTAGGTGCGCAATATAAAATCAAAATATTATCATTACATAATTACAGAGTAAAACTACTAAAAAAACGTGATATGTATTTTACTTTGGGGAATGGCTGAATCACAATCTCACTGTGAGGCCTCAAAGTGAAATTCTTTCCTCAGCCTCCCAGGTGTTTGTAGTTCCAGCATGTGCCATCACGCCTGGCTTGTGTTTTACTTTATTAAAAAAAAACATATATTTTGACAACTGTATCTTGCTTCTTCAAGATTACAAACATAACACTAATGTGGAAGGCATTTTAAAAATAAAATCAAATACCTTTTTCTTAAGAATGATTACTGATAATATTTTGGTAATATTTTTCCCAGTCTTTACAAATTCAGGGTTAGGAATTCTTTAAAGTATTTTCTTCTTCTTCTACCACTTAAAGAGAATTGTATGGGCCCCAAAAGAAAGAGTGAAGGAAAACATGTGGCTATTGTGAAAATTAATCGATGGGTGCTAAATTATATCAGAGAGCCATACAAGCTGAATTACTGCCCATTATATGATTATAGTAATTATGTCCACGCCAAATGTGCAGTGACCACAGAGGTAACCCCAAAACCCTTCACTGACCGTAACCAAATGACCACAATTGTTTGTTTCTGATAAGGGAGAGTGCAGCACTCACCTTTAGAATACTGTCCCTCATTACTCAGATCTGAAACTTCGTATCAACCACCTCTCAAGAAGTATGAACCAAAGGCCTTTCTTCTCCACCCTTTCCCTCCATGATATACCCTGTTCCAGGACTTTGAAAGAAATCTGTAGATGGACAATAAGGATTCCCAATTGCTATCCTAAGCTCTAAAAAGTTTGGACTCAGCACAGATCGGCCAAAATGCCTATTTAGCATCTTTAGATGGGTAACAAACATCTTCTAATATATTCAAACCAAGCCTTTAATTTTCTGCTCTAAGGACTCCCCACCTACAGCTTAAGTCAAGACTAAAGTCACACTTGAGACCCCCTTTCCTTAGCCTCATGTCCCATTAGTAAATCCCAGGTGTCGCCAATACCCTTCTTTACCCTCATCTCTACACACTTTAGACAGCTGCCGGAGCCTCTGTTCAGCTTCCTATTTGAGCTCCTGGGCCATCCAGACAGCGCCCCATGCCAACACCCATCACTCCAAACATCTGTAAGCACACTGCTGTGAGCAGTTATGAGCACCTCTCCATCCTCCCCTCTCCCCGGCCCTGCCTCTTTCCTTTGCACTTGCTTGAATGCTCTCCCTCCTTCGTCCTAACCCTGCCTCTCCTCAGCATGTAAGGGTAAAGCCAGTCTAACCACTAACACAGCTGAAGCCCTAAGCATGATTTTCACTCACAGGTGAAAAACCAACTACTTTTTTGGGACAGAGCCAATTACTCTATCCCAAAGTCTGTGAGTTCCCTCCACTGAATTGCCACACCTAAAATTACCAGGAGTGTATTTTTAAAAAACTTCTTTATGTCCTCTTACTAGAATATAATTAACACAAGAGCAGTGCTCTTCTCTTGTTCACACTGTACCCTGAGGACCTGGTTACTGGATAAGCATTTGTTGAGTGAATTCATTCATTCATTCATTCATTCATTCATTCATTCATTCATTCATCCATGTATGTTTGGGCTTCTGTGCAGGAGGAGGGGCTGCTGGAGAAGAATGTCTCAGAAAAGCAATAACCATGCATAAGCAGATGCCAAGGATGACAATTGAGTGACAGCTCGCCGGCAAAGCAGGTTATCTCTACCTGGTTAGGACTGAAGAGAGGCCACCAAGTGGAGGGCATATAGTAACAACACACACATGATTTCACTTTAGGAGCGAACATTTAAAAAAAAGGTTAAAATTAAGATTTTATGAATATAATGCGTGCAAATATTTGAGTACACAAGCGCTGTTTTATCTAAATATTAATTGAGCTCAATCAAATTTATTAAATGGAGACTACAAATAGCCCAGGACAATGACAAGTATTTCAAATATACAATAACTCTTTCAGAATACTGTCATCAAATTTATCATTTCTCGCTTGCTAGAAATAAAACTTAAGAGTATCTGGCCCCCAGATTTCAATAACCTGTCCAAATATTGGCTCTCTGTTCTTTGTTTTGGAGCATATGATCATACACTCTGGAACAAAAGACAAACAGGCTAAGAAACTTCTGCTTTTACTTCCTGGTTCTCAGCAGGCTGTAAGAAATTAAGATAAAGATTAGCCATGGGGCAGCAATATCTTTATCTCAGATTTCTCCTTGTGAAAACACTCTCTACCTTAGGGTCAACATTCACTTAAAGAATGCAATTGCCTGGAGTACTTTCTTCGACACAGTAGCTGGCGGAGTAGCTGGGTTCACTAACACATAGTAGCCACACTGAGCAGGTAAGCGGCAAAGCGTTCCGGAAACACTTTGAAACATCAACTAGAATATCTGAACCACCACATAAGTAGTACTCACACCAGTATAAAACACAAACTCTGGTAGGATGAAGAGATATATCCCTGAAACAAATGTGACTTCAAACACGTAAAAATTCACCTTAATCAGAAAAAAATCAAGTAAAAGTGATTTTTTTTAATTATTTACAATTAAAACGTTAGAGAAATTTAAAATTCACTCAACTTTGCAATGTTCCATGTTACATATTCAGTCACATATTCACTTATATTTTCAAAAATGCTTGTATTGTTTTCATTAAAGAAAGAAACAGGATGGTTATTCAAGTCAAAAAAAAAGGTAGAAAAATCTAAAAAGATTAAGTCTGCAGACAGAATATCTCATTATAAGCAACAGTTTCCCTATAAAAATCACCAACCCACATATCTCCTCTCTCACAGTCTTGACATTAATGTGCACAGCAATACACAGGAATGGAAACGGAAGACAGCATCACCACATATTACAGATGTTTTAAATATGCAATTTTCTAAATGGTCTTCAGCATGTCTTCTTAACTTGCCTTAAATTAAACTCATTACAATTACAAAATTTTAAAACAGTCTTTACCAATCAAGTGTTAGCACTTTCAACTCTTTGATTTCCGTGTAAGGCCTATAAACAGTGTTCTCAGCACATACGAAGCGCACAACCTCGTAGGATAATGAAAGTTTGCTATGTAAACTCACTAGGTGTAATTCAATAATCCTTTTATACACTTGACTTGACTTGACTTATTCTTCTTACTCAAAACTGCCTGGGAAGTGTGTGGGGTGCCTTTTCAGTGGCTACAAAAGCAACTGCTCTCCTCTTGTGCTCAGGCCCACAGCACCGTCTCCTGCAGACCTGTCTGGGTGGAAGTGACTGATCCTGGATTATTTCTGGTCTATGTAATCTCTCAGGTGCCCACCTCCCTTTCCCACAGCTGCCTAGGCCAGCACTGGTTTTGTCCATTCTGTTTATATCCTCCCGTTTGTTGCTGCTGTTAAGGCTACATCTTTGGATTTCTTATCAGCTAGCTCTCCGCTATCCTGAGTCATCTCCAACCCAAGTACCTGGCTTCCAGAGTATGAGTTAGTAACTGCAATCTATCCATCCGTCAGCTCAAAACTCTTGATTCACAGACTCTAATTCTCAAATGCCTTCCCTTGAGCCCCCACCCAGTTCACGCTCTCACCCTAAAACACCTAAAGAACTCCATGTCCCGCTCTCATATGTGCTCTGAGAGTCCCATTAATAAAGGCAACATTTCTTTGACTAATGGATATCCCCAGCTGCCACCCTCAATTCTTCCCTCACATTCCATCTCCACAGCCAGCAGGCAGCTTAAATACTGCTGCACATAGCTGCTTCCAATCTGCGTCATGCTCTTCCACACTGCCTTCCTCAGCACTAGGCGCACCAACTCTTCCCGAGATGAATATGAAAGCTTGCCTCTGGATTTTCTAAACCTAAAAGTCTGATAAGCCCTCACCCCCAACCTAACCATTGAAACCAGAGATGTCATCTTCATCCTGTTCCTCAAATAGTCAAATAAAATCAATACCTTATCCGCCTCATTCACTCTACTCCTATAAAGACAGACAGGCCAATGACTGTGTTCCACTGCCAAAAACAGAGTCTGGAAAGCATTAGCAGGGAATGCTAACTCTTAGAATTATAATTAACATCTGTCTATTGCGTCCAGCTACCTGTGTGACGTCAATACATTTACGGCTAAGCACTGACCATGTCTTTGCTACACATTAAAGTGGAACAGGCAGCATTTCAATTAAAGAGAAAACAAAGCATAATTCTATGTAATGTTTCCTGTAGCATTTTATTCCAATCAGTACTAAGTCATGTTGTGTAGTTTTCAGTTTTTGTTAGCTACAAGATGAACTTCATTCTCTGTTCCCTTCACATATACAAGTTATTCCAGCCTTCACTATTTAGTAACATCCTAAAAATAAAAGCTTATCGTTTCACTCTATAATAACAGGCAAAAAAAAAAAAAAAGT